GTTAAGAAATGAGTGAGATATGGTAGTTTAAATTCAAGTAAAGAAATCTGGCAGATTGCATGCATGATGATTGGTTAGAAAAGTGACTTTTCATCATTTCCTTGAGCAAATCTTTTGAAATATTTTAAAAGATATCATGATAAACTTATATTATAGTTATGTTTCCAGAGATCAAAAGATTAAAACTTATCAAAATGTATACATTCATTTATGAACAAAAAATTGTTTCTCAAAACCTCTTAACTTGAGTTTGATGTTTTAATCCTTAAAATCGATTTTTGCACTAAGATCATGAACATGCAACCTTGTTTATCATACATGAATGGTGTTAAAACACATCCATGATGTTCTAAAAAACCATTTTAACACAAAGAAAACAAGTTTGAAGAAGATGAAGAAGGAGAAAGTGTAAGAAAAAGAGCAAATTTTGAAGGAAAAGTGAAGTAGAAATCGATTTTACCTTCAAGAATACCACAAGATGATGAAGATTTCGAGTTTGAGGAGTGTTCTTGGGTTTGTTTTCTGGAAAATTTCTTGGTTCTTAGAGGGAGGAAGAGAGAATGGAGTGGTGTTTGGAGAGAAAAAGTAGAGAGAAGGTAGAGAGAGTTTTCTAGAGAGAGAAAGGAGAGAGATGTGTGTGTGTTGGAGAATGAGAGTGTGAGTGAGAGATATGGGGAGGGGGGATCCGATTTTAGGGGAGGAGAGGCTCCCTCTCTCTTGTTTCTTTTATAAAAATTCAAATCTTTTATAAAAATATCCAACTTTTTATAAAATGTGCACCTTAACCTAGTTTTTATGCATAAAACTCTTGATTTTTGACTTATAAATCAAGGGTAAATGAAAATAAATAAATCTTTATTTTTCATTGAATTGTATTTCATAATAATTATTATGATAAGATAATATTATAAGGTTCATAATTGTTTTTATAGGACTTTTAAGGTTAAAGTTTATAAATATGAGTTTTTAGGGCTTTTAGGGTTTTGGAGTTTAATAAACTTTGAATATCAAAATAAATTGAATATTTGAGACTTCAAATTATCTTATGGTATTATAACTCTTTTATAGTTATAAATAATGTTTATAATGTATTTTTATCGGTTTATTGGCATTCTATGTAGTGATTCCGAGATTCAAGCGAAATTGAGGAATCAAGTATACTAGTCCTAGTCTTCAACTTTGACTTAAGTTTCTATGAGACTTTGAACTCACTTCTACTTCTAGGTCAAGTGCATGATGTGTGTATATGATTCATGAAATGTTGTTCGAGTCAAAGAGTAACCCGAATATGGATAGTCACTACAGTTAAGTAGTCGTAGAATTCACATACCAATGTGAATTCAAAGCACATTATCCATTGTCTCTATTAGTTTCCAAGATTCCACTAGGTTATAACTTAGCTTCTAGTTACTAAGTCTAATATGTGTAGTGCCTATATGTGTAACTGAGTTCATTCAAATCTAGAACTAACTCGAATTTTGACGATTGTGACATGAACCTCTCCCAGGTCACCTCTTAAAGCTCTGCAAGAGTGAAGTTCGTCATCACGAACTTCCACCAATCCTTCGCTCCCAAGCGAAGCTGGTTCAATGTGAACCGTACCCTCAGATGCTCCAGACATGAACACGTGTAGAAGCATCCCTCAATATCATAAATCCATCTCATCGCTGCGATCGAATCCTGCATCCCATCACACTCTGGTGGCTTCGTGTTGCTGAACTCCCGAAACAACAACGAGTCACCTCTCTGAGGCCTAGCAGCAGCCACAACTGCAGTAGCTGCAACACCTGCAGCCTCAGTCACCACTGCATACCGCTCATCGAAAGTCTCAATCAATGTCGTCTTGATAGACCCAAAAATCTCCGGAATCTCGGCTCGAATCGCCGCTGCCACCTCATCGCAGATCATCTGACGAAGCTCCTCGTCTCTCACGTTGCTCATCTCAGATTTGTGGCGTGTCCCAACCATGATGTATCTGAAATACAACATAATGATATCAGAGACTCGCTCGAGCATACTCGCACTCGATAACTCATCCCTACTTGTTCCCTAGTACCCTAAGGATTCTTACTTAGAGTGCGCACTGCTCCGGTGTCTTCAGTAGTACGGGCCCTATACTACCATCCACACCGCATCAGTATTCACCCTAAGTCTTCCTCCTTGGATCCCAGATCGCAAGTGCTCTACATCTCGCTAGCAAAGGCTACCCCTCGGTAAACCTCTCATACCTCCTCACTGCTACCTACTCACTCTCAAGCATCTCATAGCAGAAGAAATCTTCCTAGTCTAAGGCAACACAAATCATGCCACTCTATTCCTAATATGAGTACCTAGCCTACTCTAGCATGCATAGCATATCACATAATATCTCATAACACATAATGTAGGCGTATTTTGGGAAATCTCAGTTCGGGCGCTGGCCGATCGTAGAAACTGCTACGTTCTATCTTTCTCAAAATATTTTACTTTCTTAGAAAAATTGTTTATTTTATGACAAACTTTCTCAAATCCTCAGTTTGAGTTTAGGTACGCCCGAAGAAGCACCCGAATCCCTCAATCCAAGGCTCTAATACCAACTTGTAACCGCGTGAATTTTCAAAACAATTTTTCATTTTTAAATAATATTTTTAATCATCAAAAACAATATCAAACAAACTGTATCTAATGTCATCATAACAAACCAATCCCAGGATCTTAAAACATAATCTCTATGAGTGTGTACGGATCATGTCAGTGCCTTCAGGCGATCCTCGCTAGTACCTGAAACACATAACACAACAACGGTAAGCATAAATGCTTAGTGAGTTCCCCAAAATAACACATACAGTGCATACTCCTTTCCAGGCCATAACTTTGTGGGACTTTCCGGTCCAAGTGTCTCAGGGGACTTCCGTCCCGAATCCCGGTAGACCTTCCAGTCCTACCCGTTTTGATCTTCCGATCCGTAACCTTCTGACCTTCGGGTCCATAACATCTTGACATTCCGGTCCATAACATACATCTCACATATACGCATATAACACATACATCTCATAGAATACAAGACCTTCCGGTCACACATAGGTACCCTTCCAGGTACAATATAGTGAGAAGACTCACCTCAACGAAGTCGGATAAACTCTCGTGCTCAACGTCCCGACCTAGCCTCCTCCTATCATTCAAATATCATTCCTGGTTAATATTCTCTCATAGTCTCATCTCTAAGGATTGGGTAGAAAGCCATTTTACTCCTTCCTGAACTCTCTCTTGAATCAGTCTTGACCAGAACCCTAAGGTCAACGGTCAAACTTTGACCCGACTCGTCGAGTGCACATGGTCGACTCAGCGAGTCCATGCGGGTCCTATGAATCCTTCTAGCCACTCATGGCACATCGAGTCATCCCTCAACTTGACGGGTTCCTCCTATCACGAATTGCGAGGCAACCCTAACTCGACTCGTCGAGTCCACTTATGAACCCGGCGAGTTACTTCCATGTTCATACTCAAATGACCTTCTAAGGTTAGATCTGCTTCTCTAATCTATAGATCTGACTTTCCTAATCATGATAATCACGTAAAGGTTGAATCTTGGTACACATGCAACCCACCCGAAGCTTCTTTTGGTCAAATAACCTCTAAAATGGCCTCCTAGGCTCATAACTCAAAAGGTATGGCATAAAGTAGAGTGGTAAGGACTCTGTGGACCTCTTAAGATATAGATCTATGAACCATTTTGCCTTGGGACCTCACATACTCCAGATTCAAACTAAAAGAGTCATAAAGAAAACCCTCGATTCCACTAGAATCATTATAAACAGGAGAATGGCACAGATTGTTACCTCCAACAGCTTCCTCTGATCAAATAGAAGTGGATCCCAGCTCCTCAACCCGCTTAGCTTATTCTACCTCCTTCCTTCTTGCTAAAACACACAGGAAATGGTGAATTAGACTTCCTCTTGCACCACAAACGGTCTCTCTACTCTCTAGGGTTTCTCAGGGGTGTAGTGGTTGCAAATGGAGGCCATAAAGGCCTTTAAATAGGGCACACGTCGCGAGAATTAAGGTTTCAATCCACAACGCGGACTCATCGTGTTGACCATTTCCGATTCGTCGAGTCCGTTCATTAATCTAGTCAACACACGCGATCCTACTCGATGAGTCTATGCATCAACTCGTCGAGTCCCTCTCTTTTACTCAAAAGAATAAATGATCAAACATAATACCTGAAAATCCGGATGTTACAACTCAAGATGCTAATCGGTGCTTTGAAGAGTTATGTAATATCAAAAGGCATGTTCAACTCGTTTTCTGTTCCTCTATCACGGCTCTCACAAGCTGGATCAACTAATACCTATTCGAAAGCTTTGGACGCAGTTACTTTCAATCTGGTGACTGATAAAAAGGTCACACTATCCAAGAATCTTTTCTTTTAGATTCTCAACATCCCTAATTCCCCACCATATGTCAATTTTAACTTTCCACAAATTGTACATATGTTTAATGAAATGGGTCATCAACCTCAACTATCAAAAATAAGTAACTTCAACAAGTCGGGTCTTCCTAGTGTTTGGAATTTCCTGTTTGGCATTTTCGTGAGGTGTTTAACTGGAAGAAAAGTTGGTTTGGACAAGGGGAGAATGGACGTTTATGCCATGGTAGCAGGGCTATATTATGATCTTCAAGTGGATTACTCTACTCAATTGTGGAAAGAATTCTTGAAGAGTATTGAAAACACGAATGCTCTTCATGGCATTTCGTGTGCGAGATACTGGAGCTTGATCTTGCAGTATTTCTATGAGAAGGAGGGGATTATGGTTCCTAATGATGAAGGAAAAGTTGTTTTCCATGTGTATAGTTGTTTGAAGGATGCAACTGATGATGATGAGGAGTTTCCAGTTGTAGCTCGTATTCGAGATGCAATGCTCAAATGAGTTAATCCTACGAACACAGTCTTATTGACTTACTTGCAAACAATTGATACAACTATTGAAACTGGAATTCTTTTGGAAAGGGAAGAGACGATGTCCAAACGTACGGAGAAGACTGATGCTGGTTCTTATGAGAAACAAATCAAAGAGTCTAAATCTACGAAGGTTACAAAGAAGTTACCAGTTACTGAAGCAGAGCCAATAATACCCGAAGTTTCAAATGATGATACACCATTAACTCAAAAAGAAATTATTACTTCGAAGGTCGGTGTTTTACGAAGAATCAAAATGAAATCCAAGGACAAGAGCCGATCTCCAATCACGAATGTCGTACGAAAGCCACAAGTTACTCATCAGGGAGTCCTATTTCATGAAATTCCAGTGCTTGTTTCTCCATCTTCAAAGAAACGAAGGGCTACTGATATGGCTAAACACATTTCCAAGAAGAAGAAGAAAAAAAAGCAAAATGATAATCTCTTCTAAGTCTGCAGCTGATGAAGATGAGACAATTCCATAAACTCCAGAATCCAATCCTAACAAAGAAACTTCTACTCCTGCACAGACAGCTGTTACACCACCCGAAGATTCGGTTGCCAAGTCAGTTTCTGAGGAGGCACGAACTTCTGACATTCTTGTAAACGTATCTAATACGGATGCAAATGTCATCATAGGTGAGGATGCTTCGCAAAAAGTTGAACAAGGTAAACCTTTAAATGTTACCTCAGAAACTTTTGTTTCTTTTTCTCCACAAATCACACCTATCATACCCACTACTTCCACTATTGATTCTCCTACCTTCGAAAACATTATCAAACAACCAATTACTCCTCTTTTTTCTTCACAATCCACTGATCCACCGACAACCACTTCACCAATTCAAGAGTCTATTTTTATGGAATATGAGCATGAATCGGAAGGTTTTGGATGCACTTTTGAAAACTTGGAGTTTGATGAAGAAGAAAATGATTTCCCTAATCACATGCTTATGACAATGAAGCAGTTCAAGATCTTGAATACAAAACTAAATTAAATTCTTCAATCACAAGCAGATCTTAGGGGAGGTAATTCGGTGACGAGCTTAGAAGTTGATGATTTGTTAAAACTGCTTGAAGGAAGGATTACCTCAAAAGTTTCGGGAATGATCAAAGATTCTGAGTCTCGTCTCTTGGAGAAAGTTGATATATGTGATCAGAATAATGAGATGAGGGTCAATTCTCAGAAGTCTACATTTGAAGGTGATTTAAAAGATTTGAGAATGGTGGAAAAGGAACGTCATGTATTATTCATTCAAGATGTTAAAAAGGTGAGAGAGGATGTGAATTTTAAACTTCAAGAGCTTCGCCAAGACATCGAAAAAGAGGTTGCAGTTGTTCACATAGAATTTGCATTCTGTAAATCAGAAGGTGGATATTTGTGATGCTGTGACAAGGTTTGATAAGTTGTATGAAAGTTTGAGTCCCCAAATAGCTCAACTTTCTACAACTGAAAAGAAAAACTTTATGGAAGTCCTCCCACTGTTAAAGGAGCTCAAAGTCTTATCTTCAAAACCAGCTTCGTCTTCTCAATTATCTTCAGAAGATCTCTTCTAGAAGTTTTCTCAATTCGAAGCACTACTTCTCCAACAGTTGGCACCTCTTTCCCGCATATGAAGCCTTCTTCCCACAACAAATGCCCCACCTATTTTTACAGGGGTGCAAGGGGGAGAAAGGAAGAGTGAAGGTTCAAAGGCTGGAGGTGATGATGCGAAGGTGGTGGGAAAGGTATTTCCTTCGAAGATTCCAAGAACAAAACCAGTTATAGCATACGTTGGTCATGTTTCTTCGATAGTAGCAACAACTGTGCCAATTACAAGACCAATTTCAAAAGGAATTGTGATTGGTAAATCTGCTGATATTGGTGGGGGTGATTCAAAGGTGAAATAAGTAATAGAAGACTCAGCTTCGAAGGCAAGAGGAAAATCAATTTTGATAGAAATGTCTAAGGAAGAAAAGAAAGATGAGGATGAGGCTGAACTGGAGCGGATGAGATTAGTACAGAGTATAATGACTTAAAGAGCAAGTGATCCTCGTAGCATGAACAAAGGTGATCCATCAAAGCATTACAACTATGAAACAATTGAATCCAAGGTTGCATTTAATCAAATGTATTCATTCGAAAAGAAGCCAAAACAAAGCTACATTGTCACGAATACTGATGCAAGCCAATTGGACTTTCCAATTAATGAGATGATGTTCATCATGCCCCATTTCAAAGTCGAAAGCAATTTCAAAGAGAAGGATGAAGGAACTCATATGAAAATCATGTTTCATGCAGTTCTTGCGAAACCAGCTGAAGAAGTGTGGTCATTGATAAAGATAAAGAATGTTACCAACATAAAGAAGGATGTTGTTTTTGAAAACATCGTCCAAAATATGAAGTATGTGGTGGTCAGGGCGAATGGGAATGTTTATGAGTTTACAACTGCTAATTTTCCTTTAATGAACTTGTATGATCTTATACAAGTTGCATTACTACTGAAGGAAAGATCTTTCTCATATCTTCAGAATACTGATCCAGATGAGTACAAGCTGGGAGTTACTCACATTAAGATTTTTATTGAAAATTATTATGAATGCTTAGCATTAACTGATGTGGAGTTGGCTACAGCTAAAGGATTGGAAATTACATATCCTATGGCTCCTTTGAAGACTCAAGCAGATTTAAAGAAGTATTTTGATGGTGAAATTTTCTTGAAGCTATTTGGTTTAGTCTTCTTAGGGAAGAACAAGTCTGGGAAATCAAAACGATTTTTGTTCGAGGTTGGTGAGGTGGAAAGGTACTCAAATTCGTAATATACGAACTTAATCATTCGTATGAATCATTGTAAGAAGAATAATGAAGGAGATAAAAATGAACTTAAGAAGATTCTCGCATGGTACACTGAGATACGAAGAGTGATGTTGTATTCCATTCAACTGCTTACAAACTGAAGTCTTTGACTATGACTACAAAGGGGGAGATTGTAAGGGTTGTTTTGTTGTAATTAGTCGAAGCATACTTTGTACTAATTGTATGAGTTGTAATGTATTTTACTAGGGATCTTTTTTTCGAAGCTTAAGTGTTAATGCCTTAGTATATTTTTGTACGCTTTGTGTATCCTATAAATAGGATCATTTACTAGAGTTAGATAATGTGAATAGCATTGTATATTTTTCTCTGTAAACACTTAAAGCGTAATAGAGCTGAAGTGAAATCTTATTTACATATTGTTTTCAATTACTCATTCATTCTTCAATATCAACTCTGATTAATTTCATACTCGGTTCATTGATTCATCACTATCCATTCTAACTTTACCGCACAAATTAGAGAAGCTCAAATTGAGGCTCTAAAAGAAGAAAACATCAAGAACGAAGCTTTGCAAGGAATAGAAAAGCAATTTATACAAAAAGATGACGGAACGCGACACTTTATGAACCGAATTTGGATGCCTAAGTTTGGTGAAGTCAGGGACTTGGTCTTAGAAGAAACCCACAAGTCCAGATATTATGTGCATCCAAGCTTTGACAAAATGTACTTAGATTTAAAAATACATTCTTGGTGGCCAAACATGAAGGCTAAAATTGCTACTTATGTGAGTAAATACTTAAATTTTTCTAGAGTAAAGGCAGAACATCAAAAGCCTTCAAGTTTACTTCAACAACCGGAAATACCTAAATGGAAGTGGTAGCATATATCAATAAACTTCATCACCAAGTTACCCAAAACTCCCAGTGGGTTCGACACTATTTGGGTATTAGTCGATAGATTGAATAAGTCCACCCATTTCTTACCAATTAAGGAGAATGACAAGATGGAGAAGCTGACTAGAGTTTATCTTAAGGAAATTGTCAGATTGCATGGAGTTCCAAATTCTATTATTTCTGATCGAGATAGTAGATTCACTTCATGATCTTCGCAATCACTACAAAAATCCTTAGGAACACATCTAGATATGAGCACAACTTACCATCCCCAGACTGATGGTCAGAGTGAGAGAACCATTCAGACTTTAGAAGATATGCTCTGAGCCTGTGTAATAGAATTTGGAAATGCATGGGATACTCATTCACCATTAAATGAGTTTTCCTACAACAATAGTCATCACACCAGCATCAAGGTTGCACCATTTGAGGCTCTTTATGGACGAAAATGTTGTTCCCCAATATGTTGGGAAGAAGTTGGAGGTACGAAAATGGCCAGAGAACGTAAAGTAGATACCTTACGTACTGGACCAGAAATAATCCACGAGACAACTAAAAAGATCGAGCAAGTTAAGGATGGATTAAAGATTACATGCGATCGTTAAAAGAGTTATGTTAACGTAAGACGTATGCCTTCAGAATTCCAAGTTAGAGATAAAGTATTGTTTAAGGTCTCTCCTGGGAAAGGCGTAATCCGATTCGGGAAATGAGGCAAACTAAACCCACGGTGTAACAGCCTAATTTTTACGTCCAAAAATTTCAATTTTTAAAATCAATACTTTGAAAAGAATTTATAAATAAACATTGTCTGATCAAAACATTCCACAATCATATATCATGTTTGAAAAACCAAAATATGAAATCAACTGAATGTCAGAGTACAAATCCCAGAACAATCTCGTAAGGTGGAAAATAGTCTATGTGTATGATGTATCACTACCATGCCAGCTCCTTCCCCTTTGGGGTGCCGACCTACCCATGCAGCCATTCTGGGGTGCCGAACACCCTACGGTCCTAACAATCGAACCTCAGGGACTATTTCACCCCTACCACTACTACTATCACATATAAATACATAACATACTATCAAACATATCTGCGGTGTCTGACTACCCTTCGGTCCTAACAACCGAACTCAGGGACTGTTCCCCTCCTACTACCCCTAACACATATCTCATAATATGCTAGCATATAATCATGACATCACATACTGTCATACGTATCTGGGGTGTCTGACTACCCTTCGGTCCTAACAACCAAACTCTACAACTATAACGAATCAAGTTAGCATATAACATATCAGGTAGTAGCAAAACTAAATGATATCACAAAGACAATCATCTAACACACAACTCCTACTGGTGGGCCGGCATTGTGGCCGTAGACCCACTGCTACTGGAAGGTAACTCACCTCGAAGTAGCTGCTGATCTGTGAGGGAACTGTATGTCTGTTGTTGCTACTCCGGAAATCCTCCTGCTGCAATTCCCATGAAACACTCAATCAAACACTGCTACCTGCCCTTAGGGTAAAAAGACCATTTTACCCCTAACCAAGTCAAATGTCAAAGTCAAGGTCAACTTCCAGTTGACCCGACTCGCCGAGTTGGATCGCCAACTCGTCGATTCCCTGTCTATTCGATTGTCCTTACTCCGGTCCCTACTCGTCGAGTTAGGCATTGACTCGACGAGTTCTCCTTCCATACAGATACCCAATAGTCCTTCATTCGACTCGCCGAGTTGTATGAACAACTCGTTGAGGTC